AAAACCCCAAAACCCCAAAACCCCATGAGTTTAGATTATAAGGATAATCTGAATTTATGAAATTAAAATTAATGAATCAAATAAGTGTTAAATCTTCTCAATTTTTTAATTAATCCGTTTGTAGAATGTTATTATCTGTTATATAGGATGCTTATCTAGATCTTAAAAATTACTAGTGAGATATTATATTATTTTTTCTAGAGCTAAAAACAGAAGGCTCTATATGTTATAATCTTATATTTCTATTAGAAGTATTTCTCTATCTTTTAATTTGTGAAAATTAAGCTGAGTTATCCTTCACATTATCAACAGTGTCAATTGATTCATTGTCGCTTGTATGAGGAGAATCAATTTCCCTGTCCTCCTGATTAAATAATTTAGAATAAGTTTTACTTGCATTATGTAATCCAAAATAAACTACTACACCAAAGTTTTTGACAACACTGAAAACGATCAGGAAAATAATTATCCAACCATACTTTTTTCTTTCATCCATGTTGTAATCTAAAATATGGAGCATCGAGATTATGATAGCTATGAATAGTATAATGAATTCATCTAGAACTGTAGTTGTTTAAAGATTTTCTTATTTAAATGGTTTATTCACAGTCAAGTATTGAATCATTAGCAGATTGCATCCAATCATAAGGCTACATTAAATAACTGGATACCTAAATCCATATGCAAGGATAGTACATATCGCTAGTCTTTAATATATGAAAATCGGATAATAGTAAAGCTGGAGGATAGTTTCATTATTTAAATCCTCAGTAAGTATACCAAGGGAATGCTTCCATTTTCTTTTCTCGATATTTTTCCTATTTTGATAGATCAGGGTCATTAAAAGAAAAGGAAGTGTAATTGAGAATGATCCGATAAAAAATAAAGTGGTGCTAGCTATCATCTGACTTGAGTTAGAAAATTTAATGAATTTGGTATTTATCAGTATTATCAAGGCTAGTTCAAAATATAATTCAATGAATGTTCTTAATGGTGCATTAAAGAAAAATCCTTTAAGCAAATTTTCTAGCACTTTAACTCCTTTGAATAACTTATTTAATATGATTATTGCAGGCAAAATAACTAAGATACTTGCTATCCATAGACTTATCTTTTCTCCATAGCTTATAATTAGATAAGGAGTAAGATCTTTTTCTTAAAATTTATAGTAAAATGTCTCATTATCAATGGGTTCATAGATGTCTCTTTGATCAATAACCATATCTAATACTGAGGGTATAAATTCTTTCAAGCTAATATCGCCACTTGCTATTGACAAATAATCTGTAAAGAGCTCGACATTAGAAGGAATTAAAATGTTCATATACAAGAGAAAAGTAATAATCTAGAGAGCGTGCACAAGTCCCCACAAGTATTGCATTGATGAATTCAATAAAGCCTTCATAGCTAGATTAACACTAAACACTGACATTACTGAATATTGTAATGATGATCCACCACTAGTTGCAGTTGATTTTTCTGTTGGAGATAAGTAAGTAAAAGGATAAGGATTAATGAAAGCATATTGTTCTGTCAATATATTGTCTGCAAGATCTTTTATCTAACTATTATCTTTGAATTGAACCCTAATTTCTTCCTATCCATACAAGCTTTATTGCAGATTATCAATCTTGATCATAAATTTTTAGATTTATCGCCCAGGAACTAGCAATTGATTTTGAAGTGATATTATTCTCCATTCAAATTTGTAGCTTTTTAAAGATCCAACAATGTCTACCTAAATATTGGCTTGACTGAAAGTAGATTCTTTCTCGATTAAAATAGGTTCTGAAAACTCCAATAGTATTATATTAGTTGTTGTAATAGCTGTTACTTTTAGGAAAGGTGGAATAATCTCTTTGCAAGAAGAATTTGCAAAAGGACAAGCAAATCCTGCCTCAATCATGCATAAATTGCTACAACCATCTCCCTTATCCTGATTACCATCATCACAAGCCTTGTCTACTACAATTCCATCTCCACATAAGTCTTCACATTCCATTTCCTCATTAGTAAATTTTCCAAGAATTTCTTCGCATTTTATGCAAAATCTATTTTCATTTAAGAATTCATATCCAAGGAAGCATTCCTAGCAATTATTTTGACCATAACCCACGCACTTTTTGCATCTTGGATCACATTTTTCACATTTCCCTGTAAGTAGCTCATTCGCACTAGATTCTTTCCATTAAAAGAATTAGCCTGCTTAACATTTCGGGATTATACATTCTTTCCCAGAAAGTACATATCCCAGCCTAATTGTGTCACCAAATGAGTTTAATCCAAATAGTTCTGAGCATTCATAACATTATGTAGACATTGGCCCAAAACAGTCAGTACAAGCAGGATTGCATTCTGAAAAGCTTATTAATATTATATTATCTTACTTTTGCATAAATAATCATTCTCATCTCCCCAGTAGCCTAATGGGCACAAGAGATAGCAGCCATCATTAAAATAGAAAAATCCTTTTGAACACATTTAGCAATCCTTAGAAATATTGCCTCCATTACATTTAATGCATTAAAATGGGCAATTAAGGCAATAATCTCTGGTATCATTATAGGTTCCTTAGATGCATTCATCCACGCACTATTAGAAATTAATATGAAAATATATATACCTCTCCTTTATAAAAATAAAACCCTTTATTGCATTTTAAGCATTAATTATAATCTCCACCCCAGCATAATGCGCATTTGTAATAACAAGCTATAAATTGGATTAGAAATTTATTAAGGAATTACGCTAAACTTTAAAAGTATAAGAAATAGTTGTTTCAACAAACGAGTCATCAACACCAACACATTATATGTTATACTCGCCAATAGCTTCATCTTAGGCAATACCTGAATAAGATCCGTTGGAGTAGTTTTTAGAAATAAAATAGGGCAGTTCAAATAATCCTTCAATTCTAAAATAAAAGGTAAAAGCTTTTTTCTCAGGATTTTAAAATAACTTCGTTATATCATGGTGAAACATAAAATTGTTATTGACAATAGCGACCTCATTACTAAGCGAGCCTGTAATCTTGAGTTCTTTATTTGGGATAACTGTTACTTTAAATGATAATTAGGTAGGAACAGATATTCCATCATCGAACATAAGTTTGATCTGATGTGTCCCTTGGTATTTATTTGATTTTGGGGCAAAATCTAATGTGTTATTTGTTGCATCAAATCTAAGCCAATTTGCGTGGTCACTATTATACACTGTATCATTTACAAAGAGAGTTAAGTTATAGTTCTCTTTTTATTCAGAAGTGATATTGGTTAGGTTTAAAGTGAATCCATATGGTAAAAGGAAAGATTAGTCAATCAAACTGTACAAGAGCTAAATTCTAGGTTTTTCATAAACTTAGACTGTTATTTCATATGTAGAACTTTCTTTTGTTTATAGATCAGTTAGTAGACATCTTATAGAGTATAAGCCAGCATATTTGTTATTCCTTGGTGTATTTCCAATTATACTATATGTTTCATTCTAATAATCTATGAATTATATCCAATCTGAATCTGGAGCTATTGTAGGTTTAATGATTAAACTACAATCTACTGTAAAAGGATCTTCCTCAAGATCTACGAAGTTGCTTTACTAAAGGTTAATTGTAAATTTTGTCGGTATATTTAATGATGGAAGTGTTTTTATAGGTTTATTAGCACTGTTAACCTGTGGAGGATTATTTTTTAAAATATAAAGTTCTATTGTATACTCTCTAGGTGATAGCATGTTTAATTTATCTCCAACTAATATCTTTAAATAATAAAGTGTACTTGCTGTTGGATTTGGAGGATTATTGATTGCATATTCTACTAATTCTGATGAATTGGATAATATCTATAGCCCTATAATACTTGTATTACTGATTTAATTATTTGATCTGTTTTGCAGAACTATCCATATCACTGGTGTATCAAATTCATTGTCTTTATCATAAACTATTGAATCATAAAAGTTATGCATTCCATAAACATTTACTTTTTTAGTAAAACTCTCAATTAAATATGGTGGAAAATTTGGATTAATCTATACAACGAATTGAACGGAATTATTTCTAGTAGTTAATCCATCAATCACAGTAGAATTGTAATAAAAAGTATAATTTCCTTTGAGACTATTATCTTTTACAGTAGCAATCATATAAGGGGCATTAATGTCTGAAGATACAAAAGTTACCCAAGACGGTAAATTATTATAATTCGTAGGATAACCCGTTTAGAAAAGTGGTATTTTAAGACTAATAGTAAATGGTCTACCCTGGCACTGAGTAAATGGACTCAGATTGAGATAGAAGTCATCTTCTGAAACATAAATTGCATTTTATCCTGTAAAATTTTTGACTATTCCTTGAGTTGCTAGAGAGTATTAAGTGCAAGAGAGAAAATTAGTATAGAATGGCCTAGCATTTTCTTTATAATAGTATCCTCTAAACATTGAGGCTTTGATTATTTAATCCTGCATTTCAGCTGGAGCAAACATTTTAGCTAAGACAGGGAGTTATTACCAATTTTTAGATAAATTTCCTGACACACCTTCTCCATAATTTCCTAGGAATTTGTTTGATATGCTGGAGAATTACCATTTGTAAATACTACAGTAACTACTATTCATTTTAGTTTCTAGATCAGATATTTTAAACTGTGATACTTGCATGAAATTATAAGCCAAAATACTTGTGGTATTAAAGACATGCATAAAATAATGATTTTTATTTGAAACGAATTGGTTTGTATATGATGTATAAGTATCCTTATCCCACAATAAATTGTATTCTAATTGAAATTCATCTATAGTTAGCCTATCACTTGAAAATCTTATTATTGTCATAACTAAAGATTGTTAAATCATGACGTAAATATATCTTGTTCCAGAAGGAGAGTATCGAACATTGCCTGAGACGCCTAATGAAATAGCTATATTAGAAAAATCTTGTAAAACTAGCTCTTTGTGATTAACAAAGGAGCCTTGAATTCCAAATTCAGAAATGTAAATCTCAGTATATGGCAAGTTCCGGTAAGAAAAAGCCGTAAATATTCTATTCTCTAATGACAATATATCGAAGTCGTATGTTCTCTAATTAGTTGCTGTTGCTGAAGGACTAGATTTATCGAAAAAGAATAAGCTTCTGTAAACTAAAGCAGATGAATTTAAAGATATAAAACCTAAAATACTATCTGTAGAATTACTCTATCTTCCTACTAATTAATGAACAAATCCATTTTATGTGACAGTTAGTGCCTATGGAATAATTGAACTGGTATATATGGAATAAACAGAAAAATACACTGTGGTTAAATTCTAATCCATTTTAATAATATATCCGCTCTATCCACTAAGCTGATACAAGCTTGAATCTGTAATTCCAGTGACATAAAAGGATTGTGTGATATTATCATAATATCCTAACTGAGCCGACAGCTTAGATCCTGAAGTTTAAAACAGTTTACTCTAAACCATCCTTCCCAAAGTATCTATTTTGTAAAAATATACTGAGTCATAATCAGTTACATTAGTAGCTGATTTAGCTTGAATAACTGAGTAAATATTATTTTAATCGTCAAATAAGCATGTTGTGGCTATACCATCACTTGCTCCGCTCTTGAGAGTTAACTGATAACTAAGTATAAGATTCTTATTAAAAGTTGCAATGAATGGATAATATGTAGTGTTCTCAGGAGTATTAAACTCCTTTGTTGTACCACAAAAGGTAAAAAATGAATCATCTAGTGAAACATCAGCTGAGTAATGCTTAATAAAATTATTGGAAGATTAAAATGGATAAATTGATTAAGAGCATTCTGATTTTAGAGGTTCTGTAAAATTTTTCTCAGGGATAATCGTTACTCTGAAGCTCTTTGACAACTAATAATAAATTTAAAACATAAAAGTTTACAGTCTATTCTTATCCTTAACTATACTATGCCGATATTGAATAAATTCCCACACCGAGAGCTGAAGCGTTTATATTAATTTAAGATCCATCAACAGCATTAGTCACAAAAATAGAGGGAGGTAGACTTGAAAAATGATCTACTTTGATTCCAAAAAGTAATTTTTCGCCAGTGCATATTTTTGCTGGTTTAATAACCTATGTAACTAATTCAACTTAAGGTAATCTTATAAATAAATCTTTGGGATCATCAAGCCAATCAATTTTAAGATCAGGACATCCTATTCCACTAGCTGTTGTATACCCAAATCCAATTGAGTAATTAATCAATTCAAGATAGAAACCTTTAATTGCATTGCTTAATTTACCAACTGTATACTAAACAATACTAGTCATCTTTGATTTGAACGGCAATTGCAATGCAATAGAGTTATTAGTAATTAGTGCTGGGAATGTGGTGACCGATTGAGTATATGATGTAATGCATGAATTTGGAGAGGTAAAATTCAGTAAATATCTTTCGAATACTGAGGTATCGTATTAATTTTCTAAATTTTAAAGGTCAAATAATGTTAATTACTGAAATACTATCCATTATAGAACAGGTACAAGTATCCATTGTAGTTATACATTTTAAGCATTTAAGTTGATTAATTTGTAAAGACTTAACTATAATAGAATAAATATTTTATCAATAACTCACCTATTCATTTAAATGATCTCAAGATTTTGTTTGTCCCATATAGTGAATAATCTAGTTTTTCCAATAGCATACATCTCATATATTTTATTATCTTGTTAAACCATTGAAATATAATAGTTCTGATCAGATTCTAATGTAAGAAATTCAAATGAGTAATATTTTGAGGTTAAAAGCTATAAGTCTTCATCAAATATTGTCATTAAGTGTAATTTCTCTTCGATCTAAATATATGCAACATAAATTTTTCCATTATCTATAAGCATCGGCTATCTAGTGTATTTGCCATAATTTCTCATTGTAGTATTTAATGGTACAAATGAACAATTTGCTATATCTTTATGAATTTTGGTAAGAATAGGAAAGTGTTATTAATCAGTGTAGAATTAAAACTGAGTTATTCCGTATAAATAATTAGAATCCTTAACATATTCTATCTGATGGTATATTTATGAGTCAATATTTGACTAAGAATCCGTTGCTTAAAATCTTAGAAGCCATTTTAGTTCTGCTTAATCATTTTGATCATTCATCTTGTACAACATTGATTGCCAAACATAGTATGGATAATCATAATTTCTTTTAATACTAATGTAAATATCTTAATTGTAAGGATCTTATGATATGTATGTCTGAGGAAAATATTTATTTGATGTAAAGTATAAGTCTGGTATAGGAAACTACTTCAGATATATAAATTTTCCTGTATAACTTAATTTTAGAAGCTAATTCAAATATTCATTATTTTGAATGGATGTAACTGCGATAGTATAAACAGATTATTTGTCTTAACTAAAAATACAGCTTGTAAAATAAGACACAAGGTTTGAACTTTTTCCATAAGACCAATAAGCTTTTCCAGTTATTCCAAATAAAGAAATCACTCCATATTACTACCCTGGATAATCCTTAATTACGTACCATGAGGCTAAAGATGCTCCACAAACCAAAAAATTTCCATTATCTAGATCCATATCTGAGTTGTAATGAGTAAAATCATTCAAGCTTGCTCCAATAACTTTTGGAAAAAGTACTCCTTGGCATGTATCATTTGATTCTGATTTAGGAACCTCTTCAAAGGAAGCTGGCCATACATATATGGGGAGAGGTAGTACATTATTTTTATCATTTGTTGATAATACAGTAACAATCCATGTCCTAAAACTGGGATAAATGCTTGAAGAAGTGCCATCAATAGTAATAATATTGTTTTTAAGCGTGACATATGACCTTGATAGTGGATCTCGATCATATTCACTATAAAAATATAGTATTTTGGAGCTATACCCTTGACAATGTTTTACTTAGAGGGCGTCAATTTCATATTTTCCAATTTAGCCTTATTTCATCATGAATTCCGGAAAATTTACTTCTGAACATGGTACATTTGCAGTATCCGACACCAAATATTTGAATGATCCAGGAGCATTTCCTGAGTTTATAGATGGGCTTGGAAAATACCTGTATGTTGTTAATTGTATTAGTCTTAAATAATCAATTTACTCAGTAAAGGAATCAGAAGTATTATTAAAAGTGACAATTATATCTGATTGAATGTCAATATAGTTAATACTAGTATCCAAAGTATCTCCTATAATTGAATTTTTAACTATACTAGCTCCTACACTTGAGTATTTAGAATTTTCATACCAATTAAAGTTGAACTTAAAAACCATAGTTTGTCTATAATACCAATAACTATAATCAGTAGAAACTGTCAAAAAGTAATTATCGTTTTATGTTACAAATCTATAGGGAGTATAATAACTAATTTACCTTCCAAAAGTCAAAAATTACTTTAAATTATCAACACAATTAAAGTTTTTATCTATGTAAAGTAAAAATCTCATGTTTGCAACTGTTGTATGAGCTATTATGATTAAATTTTCATTCTTTGGATTCTAAACAATAAACATTTTTATAATAAGATATTCAGTAGAGGATTAAATTCTAGCGCTTTAGACAAGCTAACCATCTGTAGTCATCTTTAATAATTAAATTTGCGATTACATTCCCACACCAGTTATTAAATTTTTGCTGAATTTACTCTAAATTAAATGTGGATTATTTGTGGCTATCTTATATTCTACAACTGAGTGCCAAAATGTTTTACCCCATAAAACATTTCCACTTGAAGTATTACTTTTTACAATAAATCCACTTAATGGGCTTGGATTTAAAGTACTGGATTTATTCTTGAGAAATCCTGTATAATAGACAAAGTTGCCATCTAAATCGAAGCAAATAGTACCAGGTGTGTTTAAAGCATCTGCATTTGTACTTGATTGATCTTATAGGAAATGATTAAAAGATATGTTCAAGCTTAATTAATTGTCGTAAAGCAACTAAAAGACTATGATATAGTTATAAGTATCACCCAACCTATATCTTGATAGTAGTGCAAATTAGTTTTTATTAAATGGATCTTTCATCATCTCATAGTTCGATACAAATGCCAGATAGCTAAAATATTAGTTTTCCATCATAATTCTTCTGCTCCAAATAAGCTTACCTTCACTATAAGTTAGCTTGACTAAAGCTTATTATTGGGCACTTAAGCTTATGTTATTTACAAAAGTTGCATAAATTGAATCATTCTACATCACTAATGATTATATTTCAGACAAATAATATGCATTAGAGATGTAAGATTACCATTCTAATCTGCTACTTTATGAAAATCTATATATAGTAGCTTGATTAGCAGCTTAGCCAACGGAAGTGTAAATGTAACCACCTATTAATATATTTTCATCTTCCTCTACTAAAAATATTGTATTTGTAGATTACTCATTACTTAAAAAGCCTAATGAGAAGGTATGAAGTGTACATTATGATGAATTAGATTTTGATATTGTTCCATTTGATGAATTTACTACTTTAATCGCAATAATAGTATCAACGTAAATAAATGGTTAAACCTAATAAGCATCTTAATATCTTACTTTTACATGAACAGCGACAGGTGTTGCAAACATGTTAGTATTCACGGAAATTTTGTTTAAAGTAGAATTATATGAAAGTTGAGTAAAGTAGAAATTCTCATTATTATTAATGCTGCATATAACTTTCAGCGTGATTGGTCTATCAAAACAAATCAATGGTGGAAGACTCTATAGTTATATCTCTTACATCCCACTGTTACGTTTAAATTCATAACTATACTCAGTTTCAATTGCTGATTATTAAATAGGGGAAGGGCTGTGATAAGTACCATCAAATTACCTAAATCTTATCATTGATAATCCATTATCATTTCTTTTGACTAAGTTTGAAGAAAAACTTTAGGATGTCCAATTAAGGTTTGTTGAAAATTACATAAATCCGAGTGTGACATTTCCATTTAATCCTGGGCTAAAATTTGAAATCATTAAATTAGGAGTAGTTATTGAATAATCTGCTTCGATTTTCCAATTTATATCAGTTGAATTTAAATCTATAGATTTTCCTCTAAAAAGTTAATATTTATTAAAATCCAAATCAAAGTCTGATCTCATTATTGTAAACGAACTATTTGAGGGAATTGTTTGAGTATTAAAAAAGTAAAGTAATTCATCCCCATAAAATTTGATATTCAAGATGCTTGCAGAAGTAAAAGTCTTTTCAAAGTATACATACTTTATGAGCTATAAATCTTTGTCAAACTTGGCAATCACGATTGATTTAAAAGAAAACACAACAAATATATTTTCATCAGTTACAGTGATTGCAATACTTGAGAGTTTAAACATTTTTCCAAATGACAACTTTAATTGCTTAACCAAACTCAAATCACTCTGCTGTATAATTTATAAAACTGCTCGATTTAAATTTGATAGCATGTCTATTGATCCTTAAACTATCTAATAATCACCTAAAAATGCAGCATAAAAGAACCCCATTGCGACATTTTAAACTTAGGTACATCTTGTGATTAATTCAATTTAGCCATTAATTAAATTATTTTTATAGGTTTAAAAGAATTTATTAGGAACTGACTCAAATATATAGAAAAATCCAGTCTCTCTATTTACAAGGTAAGTCCTCGGTGTTGGTTCGAGAAAAGTAGAATCTTAAAATGATGTATTATAAAGTTTATACCATGAAGTAGTATCAATAGAATCATCATAAACAAGAGCAGCTTGATTTATCAATTTAGTAGTTTGATTAACATATCTAAATAAGCCTAAGGCCATTCCATTTTATAAGCCATAAACGAAGTCCCCTTATTAATCAGTATTATTAGGTAGATTTCTAGCATATTTAAGAATTCCATTTTAATGGTTGAATTTCAATAAAACCAATACTCTTGATCTTTTATTTACATAATCATTTTCTTTAAGAGTGCATAATGCATATACAAATGTCTCGAATTAAGACACACTTAAACATGTTTAATTAGTAGTGGCTGTAGAAATTTATCTTGCTTAATATATCCAGAATGGCTAACCTCTTTGATCGAAAAGAGCAACAAATCCTTGATACAATTATTTATTTCCAATATTTATATCAGAAAATGGTAGAGTATTTGAGCTTCCTGCCATTAAAATATTCCCATATTAATCTAGAGAAGATTACCAAATTTTTAAGTTATATGATTCTCCCCAAAAAAGAGGATAAATTTTCTAACTACAATTTTTGAAGTCATGATCAGGTTAATCTACTTATTTTACTCTATAATTCGGAGGAATAAAATTAGTCATAAAGGTGGTATTTCTTTGGAATTCTCCTTGATAAGATGCTGTAACTTGAACATATCTTGAACCAATGAACTAGTCATAGTGTTTGGTTATATTGAGACTAATAAAAAGTTAATTTGTAGGGCTGAGATAGGAAAAATTAGCCACTTGTGTAGATGTATCAAAGTAGCTGAATTAGTTTTAAATTGTAAAAAGTTAATCAAGACAATTTTTAATCTGAAACATTTCATAATAGCTATATTGAGTTAACTGATTTGGGTCTAATGGAAAATTGACTATCATTGTGAATGCCTAGCTTATTGGAGAAATACATTATTTGCTACTTTGTTATAGCAATCTAAAATCTGTTAAATTACCTCCATAAAAATTAAGTTTTACAGCAGAAAGATTTATAGTCGATGTTACAGAGAAAGTTGACGTAAATATGTTCGGAACGAATTACATTAATCCATTTAAAGTTGATTACATATAAAAGTTGTCGTTCATAACAGCTTCTGGCATATTGCAAGTTGTCGTTTTGTTAAGTGATCCCGTATATTTGTTAATATAAATCTTATCATAGGAATTTTGTAAGGGAATATTAATTAAAAAATACAAAGTATCTGTTTCTATATGATATTTTGAAAATAAATATTTCCCGTAGCGAGAAATTTGAAAAGGTGAATTTATTGCTGCCCCATCAAAAGCCTTGATAATTCTCTTATAAAATATGTTTCATTGATAGAAATTGTATTTAAACAACTATGAGTAATATGATTAACTGGATCTATAAGCGTAAAAAATAATTTCTTAAGATGAAACAGATTCAGCCATGAAATTATCAAAACCATAACCATTAGAAAATAATACTGTTCTCAAATAACTTGTTTAATTCTCATAATACTACAGTTTTAATTAGACACCATTGTTAGACTCATAAAGGGTACAAATGTTGATTAAAAATTTTTCATCAGTAGATATTAAGGATTTTTTTATCAAGTTTTCTTAATTAGATGTGTACGATATTTTCTAATACTAAGTCATATTTGTTTTATTCAAAATAACCCAAACATGAGGTAATGGACTTAATTCCTACATCATTGTGGAAGATAAGTATATATGTTTTTACCCAATAAAAAGTTGATTTGTTTTAAGTTAAGGCGAAAGGGATGTATTTGTAACTAAATGCGAAACTTTTGTTCCATTTAAAATAGTTTAATCTATAGTTATAACCCTTGCTTCCTCAAGCATATTCAGCTTTTGTCCATCCTAGCCTTTTACTCCAGCTAGTATATACTTCTTTTAATTATATTTTTTATCATATTAGAGGTCCAAGTAAAGTACTTCATAATCGATAGCTGGGTTATCTTAAAAATTAATAATCTAATCAGATATTTCATCTCCATTAAACTTATTAAATTCTATTAATCCAAATTAATTTTTCTCAGTTTTCATTACATAATTCAGAGTATCATTTATAAACAAAATGGATGTCACAAATTAGTTGTAGCATTTAGAACAAATCTTTACCCACTAAATTTCTCCCATTTAATTAAATACTACTACACCTTCTTTTTAAGTCTCTGAAGGGGTAAAATAAAACAAACTTGCTTCTGGCGATTGATTTTATGAAGATGAGATCTAAATCTAAAAAGAGAGAGCAATTAGATTTTAATCAAAATCAACATCGAATCCTGTTTCATAAACATCCTATTGAAAATTAGGGATATTAAACCACATAATTGGATAAATATTTTCAGGAGTAATACAGCCATTATATTACTTTATTAGAATTTTATTATGATTAACGCCTAGACTTACTATTAGCTATAATCAGGATTACCACAAGTTTTGGCATCACCTTTAGCATTTTCTCCTTAAGCTCAATTCTACTTAGTTTTAAGTGATTGATAATATTACATTACTAGAAAGCAACTCTGCATTTTATAAAATCTAATTTTAATGCTAGAGTTCAATGTTAGCTTAGTTGTAATTATCTCAAAGTAACTATTTTATTTGATCTTTCTAATCTTTGCCAAGGAATTAATTCTAAGCAACTCCGAATTAAAATATTGTTATCAGAATAAAAGCATTGTAGATTTGTATCTTATAGGTAGATGTCTGTTTAAGATTTTTAAGTGCCATAGAAAAAGTTTATGAC